TATGTGAAATTTTCACCGGTCTCGAGAGCTCGGTGTTTGTGGGTGATGCATGCGCTACCCGTAAAACGTGGATTTGTCGCAGTAGAGCGAGAATTTAAGAAAAAAATTATTGTTATTAAAATTGTTGTGGTAGTTCCGTGCAAAATACTGAAAATGGACAAAGAAGCGGAAGTTAGTCCGGAGAATTTTAACGTAGTTAAAATGAATGAGGAGATGATCTATGATGATACTGGGACAAATGTTTTACTACAAGGCAGCAGAACTGGTGGGTAACATAGTAATAGTCCAGTCATTTTAGCATAAAAAAGGGATCAACCTCGGAATGAGAGATAATAAGCTGAATTTTTGTATACACCTTAATTTTGGCGTTCTAAAAGTTGTCTTAAAAGTCTCATAAAATCTCGTGTCTGCGTCGTAAGGTATTCAAGGTCAAAGGTCAAGAAAAGCAGTTTTTTGCGATTATCTCAGTTTCTATTGCTCCAATGATGTTAACATTTATTATCATAATTGTAGAGCACAAAATTTGGGACAAATTTTATTTGAAACATTTTTTCATACGCTCAATCGTTTTTGAGATAGAGGGCAGTGAGCGCGCAGCGCTCGTCCATACGTACTGTAATGCAATCAACCGTGAATGTCTGTGAATACTACCTTGAATTTTGAATAATTTGTATTATTAATCAATTGTATTTAATAACATTTTACATATTTTCCACAAATTCATAGAATAATACTTACCTACTTTGTGTAATTAAAAACTCATTTAATGAAATATTTATTGTATATCTCAATTTATTTATATCTTTAAAATGTGTAAGTTATTAAATACTTATTTTTCTATCATGATTATAACTGGAAGGTCTGGAAACAACGATTCAGGGCACCGAAGATGATGACGATGAAACAGAAATTCCCGAACGTCCAGAAGATGACGGTGAAGAAGAAGAAAATTAATACTTTTGTTCTTTAAATTACTAAAGATTTATAGATTTTCACTGCAATTCAATTTCAATCGTAAGAAATGTACAGCTGCTGAAAAAAGATAAAATTAAAATATATTAACTCAATTTACTTCCTTAAAATTTACTTTGAAAAAAATTAATATAACTTTAAGATATATAATAATATAACAAGTATAATATATTATGTAATATCTAAAAACTTACACATTTGAAAGATAAAGTACTTAATTATTTTTCTTCTTAAAATCTACTTTCAATAAATTAAGATATACCTACAATAAATATTTCATTTAAAGAGTTTTCAATTACACAAAGTAGGTAGTATCATTAAATGAATGTTTGAGAATATATAAAATGTTATTAAATGCAATGTATTAACTGATAAATAATACAAATTTTTTAAAATTCAAGGTAGTATTCAAAGATATTCACGGTTGATTGCATTACAGTACGTATGGATGAGCGCTGCGCGCCCACTGCCCTCTATCTCAAAAACGATTGAGTGTATCAAAAAATGTTTCAAATAAAATTTGTCCCAAATTTTGTGCTCTACAATTATGGTAATAGGATGTTAACAATCATTGGAGCAATAGAAACCGAGATAATCGCAAAAAACTGTTTTTCTTGACCTTTGACCTTGAATAACTTACGACGCAGACACGAGATTTTATGAGACTTTTGAGACAACTTTTAGAACGCTAAAATGAAGGTATATACGAAAATTCAGCTTATTATCTCTCATTCCGCGGTTGATCGCTAATTTGACTGGACTATAACGTTAGTAGAAAAGCTAAATGTGAAATACTTTGTAGATTAGTCATTGGTCGACAGATTGCACGACCTGATTCTTTAGTAGACACGGGTGTGCGCAACCCATGGACCAAATATCGCAAACATAAACAGTTATTTTCTGATACATCATTAAAACATGACAAAATGTAGAGTACAAAACAACAAAAATTAGTTCATCACACAGTTGATCAGTGCAAAAAACAGCAACACCCAAAAGGGGTACTTTTAATTAGAGGTTTTGTATGTCATGTCAAAGGTCATTGTACGCTTATCAAAGTATCAAAAATTGGTGACAAACAGACACGCCCATCTTTTGTTTTTTTAAGAAACGGCCGTTGTTTGACGTTGCTGGTTTGGAAGATTCTGGGTATAGTCATAACAATTAATCAGTCGTTGTGGTTTCGATAGAGTGGGAAAAGTGTAGGCAATGCTTACAAGGCGAAGAAATCCAGGTTATTCTTCAATTAACCCCCCTTGAGAGAGGGCGAGTTGTAGGCATGAAAGAAGCTGAACTGTTACTTCGTGAAATTGGGCGAGGATTAAATCGTAATGCGGCAGGTCTGACTAGAGCTTGATGGGCATAGCCTGAAGAACACTAAGAAACACTCCCCACAGAGGGAGTGGCCGCCCTAGAGTCTAACAATCACGTGAAGATCCCTTCTTAGCCGCTTGGCCGTAAGAAATCTTTGCAAACCCTCCCAGGCAGTGGGCACTTGGACGCTCGATCTCCAGAAGCACGATTTATCGTCACATTGCGTTTTGGGGGTTCATTCTTCATTTAATAAATTAGTATTTGATAACTTGAGGGAAGCTGTGTTAAAATTGAAAGAAAGAGATAAAATTCGTAGCCTGATTTTTGATGAAATGGCCATTATGCCCCATAATGTTTACGAAAAAAGTAGTGATAAATTTATGGATTTCAAGATTTTGGTGAGGAAGTACCATCACAAACTTAGTCAAGACCCTTTTGTTTCTTAAAGATATCCACCTGTTTGAGTGCATCTAGAATGTTTTTTTTAGCTAAGTCTACGTCTGTTACCACTATGTAAGGTTGCTAATGACCTAGCTATCGATGCGACGAAATTTACAAATAAAAAAAATAGTATATTATTATACTAGTTTAATAAGACGTCTTATTGTGGCCCGCATGGGTTTGGGGCACGACGAGCGCAGCGAGGAGTGCTCCAAAGGAATAAGTGCCACAATGCGTCTTATTAAACGAGTATAATATACTATTTTTTCTACTTTGCATCTGATCGGAAACAAAAAATTAATAAAAATTCAAGGTTATAATTCAGGGCCTTTTAATTCGAAAGGTTAGTTGTAGCGTTGTGGCTAACTTCACAATGTCAAATTTTGAGATCTAACCACCGAACACTAACAATCTAACCCAAGTTTGCCTCAAGCCCCATCGGAATCAATAAAATTAGCCAAATCCCAAAAATGATTACATCCTCTTTAATGTTGCCTGAACCAGAATTATACACTGGACATTGTTTCAGACGCTCCAGTGCAACAAGCTTAGCCAATAGCGGTGGAGATTTAATAACAATAAAAAAACACGGCGGTTGGAAAAGTGCAGCTTTGGCTGAGGGTTACATGGACGGATCTTTGAATAAAAAAATAGAAATTGCGGAAATGCTAAAGGTAAAGACAAGAAGAAGCACTTGTACTTTGGATGAAGGCCAAGGCCCTTCAACTTCAGGCTGTACTACTTCAGAAACTTATGTTTGTAATGAAAATGTAATAAATAACAGCCAAAATTCAAACATTGAATGTTCCGAAAAGACCAACTTTGAGAAACATGTGTACGCCCAGAGTTTTCCAAATATGTCAATCACGGCTAGAGATAATGCTACGATTACCATTAATATTCACAATTCTGAATTTCATACAAATTCATAATTGCATTATATGTTAGGTTATGTTTTGATACGATTTACTTTTCTTAATTACACTGATTGTATGTAATTGTGTTTATTTTTTAGAATATTGTTTCTGAATAACAAAGAGGCTTGCTATGGTGGCATTACGCTTATTCCAATTGAATTTAAAGAAAAATAAAAGTGCAAGTGACAGTAGCTCGCGAAGTTGGATGCATAACGATTGCTATGCCCGCCAATCTTATAAAATAAAATAATACTAAAAACAGTTTAACAATTGATCCCATTATTAAACTGGTTTCGGTTTAATAATGAGGCCATTGTTAACGCAAAGTAGAAAAAGTATTTTTTGTCGCTGGGCTTTTTAAGAAATGGCAGCAACCTATTTATTGCGGATTTTCTTCATCTACAATCGAATCTACGCGTATAGCCAGTTTATTGAAACTTTTGATTCAAAACGTTCAAAATTGTGGGTTAACCGTTATCGCTATAGTTTGTGACCAGGGGCCAACAAACCAAGCAGGTCCAAATATGTTGATAAAGGAAACATCAAAAATTAATGAAGAATCTAATCGACAATTAGAAATAAAAATCATGGTACAAGAACAAGAAATTATACCATTGTATGACGGGCCTCATTTGATAAAGGGGATAAGGAACAATATGTTAACGAAGAATTTGGTTTGGGAAGTAGACGGCGAAATTTTAATAGCAAAATGGGATATTATTGTCGAAGTTTATGGCAATGATTCAGCGTGTGGGGAATTAAGAGCACTATATAAAATTACGCACCTGCATGTAATGCCAAACAGAATTCCAAAAATGAAAGTGTCATATGCAACTCAAGTGTTGTGTTATTCGATGGCGTCAACTATAAAACTGGTGGGATTTACAGAAATTCGGGACACACAAAATTTTGGAAATAAGCTATCCGACACTTGGGCCCTGTGTACTTTGTAGATGGTAATGGACATAAAACAGTACCTCCTTCTCTAAAGAATTGGATCAAAACGTTGGAAAGATTTTTAAATTTGTATAAGATTTTGCTAGAAGGTGGCAAGTGTAAATTTTTTTACCTCGTGCTCTAACTCAAAATGTCATTCAAAATTATTTTGGAAAATAAAACAAATATTCCCAATTTATTCAACGTACGTGGAATAATATATAAAATTAGTCAGAGTAATAATAATTATTATTAGAAATTTCATTGTTTTGCTAATTATAATTAGCAAAACAATGAAATTTCTTAACAAACTGTAGTGTATTGTAGTTAGCTTGGCAGTGACAACAGTGACAATGACAGCGCACCAAGAGTCAGATCATGGGGGTGTCACTCGAATACAAATTTAGGAAGCAAGCCTCAGCGCCCTCGGTGTCGAGCTGACCAAGTAATGAAAAACGCGCACTTTGAAAACATTCAAATCATCCAATGAGAGTGCGATGCCGTTAACTGGCATCAGCTGGTTTTGTGGTGTGCATACGTGCGATTAAAAAAGCCGCTGCTATGAAAGTGTAAAATCGTGCAGGGAAAAAAGCCGGACTGAGGTAAGTATTTAGAATAGGAATATACTTATTAATAGTTCTATTTTAGGCATTTCTTACATCTCTCGAACATGGAGAAACCACGCCGTATTGCATATCGATGTAAATATCCAAACTGCGGAAATGTGTTCTACAAGGGTGGTGGTAATGACCTTAGATTTTACCATTTTCCAAGAAATGTGGAAATGGAGGAACTTTGGAGACAAATTTGTAAAATTGATGCAAGTAAACCGTGTAAGTCCTTATACTTGTGTAAAAATCATTTTCACTCGACAGATTTTCATGATCCATTACATCGAAACAGACTGTTGCCTAATGTGGTCCCAAAGGAATATGTCTCCAAAGAGTCCATGAGCAGTCAAGTGGTTGCAGCGGAAATTTACACTCAGTTGCTGTGGAATCCGTAGCTAGTTGCTCATTTTCTGCTGAAACAGACTTTTCTACCGTAGAAGAAAGTAACGTTTGCTGAGAGGAAATTGCTTCAGAGTTGTAGTTCGCCTCCTCGTGGTGCACCTTGAGTAACGCTAAATGAATTGGCACATATCGATATTGACAGAAATATCTCGTCAAGTAAGTGGACTATTATTGTTTTCAAATTTCCAAAATTGTTTGTTTAGGTACGCAGTTGTTCATTTTCCTTACAACACAATCTGACAGGAGGGATGATAACCCTAGAAGCTTCACATTGTGAGTTACATATCTTTCTCTTATTATTATTGTATCTAATATTTGTATTTCTTGATTTGTTTATTTGATATGTATTTAGATGTATGATAATAAATAGGTTACATTACATTCTGTATACTTTTTGTAATTTCATATGAGAATTTACATTAAAATAACCCGCAAAACTAGGTGGTTGCCTATACAGGAGTAGGTGGTTGCCTATACACAAGTAGGTGGTTGCCTATACACAAGTAGGTGGTTGCCTATACAGAAGTAGGTGGTTGCCTATATGGAAGTAGGTGATCCGCGTATTCAAATTTACGCGCGTATAGTATAGTTGGCCAGCTGCACACCGAGGGCGCAAATTTGTTTCCATCGTTAACAACGTAGGTATCATTTCTTATATTGAAGTTCTGTGAGTCAGATGTTAGTTTAAGAATAAACACTTAAGGAAAACGTTTGTAATTGTTCCCCAAATAAATAGTCTATGTTTATACAAATTGTGGTCGTGTAACAATTCGAGATTTGAGGAAAACATATTGGCGACGAGGTTAAAACCAAAAACGAAAATGCTGGGTCCGATTCACAACTTTAACCCCAAGTCGGATAGGTGCATTTTCTATCAGGAGCAAATGGAACAGTTTTTTTTAAATAAACGGTACTGTAGCCAATGAAACTGCAAAAAAAGAGTAGCAGCGCTTCTGAGTCTGGTAGGACCGGAAACGTACAAGATATTACGCGACCTCTGCACTCCTGAAATACCCAAAGACAAGACGTATGACCAACTATGTACTTTACTCAGAACACATTTTTCCACAACAACATGTGTGTACACAGAGAGAATAGAATTCTATGAAGCAAGACAACAAGAAGGCGAGTCGGTAAATGAATGGTTTGCAAGGTTGCATAATTTGGCGGCAAACTGCTAATTTGGTAGAGTGACAATCAAAACGAAAAGGCCCATCACGTGGTTGCGCAGTAAAACAAGTTACGTTGGTCGAGTCTATTCGTAGCTCGCGAGGGATGGAAACATAAGGCAGTAGCACCGTTAATTTATTTTACTTTTGTACTGTCTTCGTGTGTGGTGTCAGCGTCTCGTGTCTTTTTGCTATTTCCTTGCGTTTCCTCGTTCTTTTTGCTTGTTTCTTTTAAAAAATCTGTCTTTTTCAAGATAATTTTGCTTTGAGTTTTATTGTTCTTAGTAAGTACTGTTACGGTTCGAAAATAAGGGGTTGCCTAGATAACAGCGAGTCAGGCGCACAGACCATTAAACAAATAGGAAGACAGTTCATTGCCATTTAATCGTATAGTCTAGGAAGCGACACTAGCGCTGCGCGAGCGGCTGGAGCAAACACTCATTCGCTTATACTCGTGTAAATTTCGTAATAGATCGTGTTTACTGTCAACAAATATCTCCTTTAACGTCATTCAAATTCAAACGCCAAATTATAATTTTTTCAAAAGGTTTTCAGTAGTAAGTTTGGTGGCTATTATATCTGCTATTTTTAAGTCATATTAATATAGTTTTACTTGCTTCAGATACAACGGAAATGAAAATTATTAATAAATATCGATGCAAAGTTCCAAATTGTCCGTCAGTATACGCAACAGGAATCAACAAGAACAAAAATAAAGATTTTTTTATTTTTCCTAAATCTCCAGTTCAAAAACAAAAGTGGATAGATACCATTAATGCCTCCTGCACAGAAAAAATTGTTGTTAATTGTAAAAAAGCTTACATTTGTGAAGATCATTTCAGTAAAAATTACTTTACGAGCACCGCACAAACGAACCTTCATAGATACGCAATTCCCACTATTTTTAAGGACAGTAGTCAAGCTGTGATTAATACTAATGGTGATGGGTATTCCAGTAAAAGTGAACAAAAAAATTATAAAATTTTAATTTTTTTAGTCGGAACTATTCCGGAATCTGAGTATGATGGTAGCGTAAATTCACAAAGACGCAAACGCCATTGTGATAGTTCCGGATGGAAACAACCAATAGCGTACTATTTTGTTAAGGACTCTATTAAAAGTATAAAATTAAAACTAATAATTAAAGAAATTATTAGCAAACTTAATATGGCCGGCGCAAAAGTCATATGCACCGTTTGTGATCAGGCCAGTTCGAATGTAAAGGCTCTACGTTTGTTAAAAGAAGAATCAAATGTAGAGTATAAGGAACCATACTTTAAGGTAAATTCAAAAAAAATTGTATGTTTATATGATAGTCCCCATTTATTGAAATCATTAAGAAATGCTCTCCTTAAATATACGATTTATTATGATGAAACCAAGAAAGCTAAATTTATGTATTTGAGACAAGCTTATCAATTTGATAGTACTCGAAGATTTCAAACTTTGCATAAAATCCGAGAACCCTTTCTTTACGTGAACAGATATAGATTATTAAAGATGAAAGTGTCAATTGCAACAAAAACACTTAGTGCCAGTATGGCAGCTGCACTTGAAACTCTAATAGATTCAAAAGAAAATATTCCTTCAGAAGCAATCGAAACGGCTTTCTTTGTAAAAGACGCAAATGATTTATTCGACAGTTTCAACTCCACTGGTATTAATATGCGTAACAACCACTGCAATCCAAAGCTAAGATGTGCTTTAACAAAGAAATCTGGTCATTTTGATTTTTGGAATAAAATAGAAAAAAAAATCGAAAGTTGGAAATTTTATGACGAAGTACGTGGTCAATTCAAAACAATTATGCCCTTTAAAGAAGGTTGGTTAAATAACATTCGTGGAATTAGACTTCTTTGGCAGATGTGTGAAAAAAATGAATTCAAATTTTTGCGAACAAGAATCCAAGAATCAGGATCCTCTAGAAAATTTATTTTCAGTGATACGACAATACGGTTCAGGAAATAGTAATCCATCGTGTTTTCAATTTATATCGGCGTTAAAAACAAGTATTTTGAATAATCTGATAGCATATCAAGCATATGGTAAGAATTGTGAAGAAGATGTAGGAAAACTTCTCGATAATCTTAGAATATTTTTATCCTCGTCATCAAAACCAACAAATTTTCAGTTTACAGAAAATATCAATGAGTTGGTAAATTTAGAAAATTCTAGCTCAACTAATTAATAGAGCTGCATTTAAAGATTTATATGATCTTCAGGCTATTACATATGTTTGTGGCTTTTTAATAAAAAAATTAAAAGCTATCACATGTAAAGACTGTAAAAATTGTATAATTGCACAAAAAACCGAAGAACATCATATTTTCACTCTTTACTCTCACTCTTTCAGGATCAAAAATTAAGGTTGAAATATGCTACAAAAGAATTTGTAACATGCTTAGCTGAGATTTACGATACCATAGTCTTCTTTTTAGATAATTTTGGAGAAGTTCCAAATATTGCAAGAAATTTAAAAGAACATATAACAGCAACAATTAACTTTACTTGGATTAACTGTGACATTCATATTGCTGATTTAAGAACGGAAATTATTAATTTGGCAGTGCGTCTAATAATAAATAAAAAATTGACCAATCTGCAAAAACAATTTGAAGTACATAATCGTAGAAGAATTAATAATTCAAATAGGTTTTAAAATTAACACCTACCCGTAGTTTCAAGAGTTTTTTTTAAGCAGTTTGTAATTAAATTATTTTTTTTAGGTATTTCGAAATGAAATTGTTTTTCTTTGAGAGTTGTTTTGTAATTTTGTCATTGTTATCAAATATATGTTTTTCATTACTGAATTTAGTTTCATTTTTATAGAATTAAAATTGTAATTAAAAATAAAATTACTACTATAGTAATTATAATCTAGTAATCAGTGGATTTAATTCATGCAGGAGCTCGAGCAGCGCTGTAATCGCAACATTAAATCGTAGTGGTTTTTGAACGTCTTTCTATTTGCTTAATGGTCTGTGGTCAGGCGCAAGTGAGAGACTGCGGTGAACGAGTGGCATTTTGAGCAGGGAAAGCGCGATTGGTCGCCTAATCGGGAATTTCCGCAACTCATCCGACGAGATCGCGTTTAAACAGAATCTAGTAACGGTCGGGCAGCGGACGCAAAAAGTACGGGGTTGTAACTTTTGGGGGAGCGACAGCCCGGAAAAGTTACCGGGGGTGCGAGTGAGTGTAAGAGAGAACCGTAAGTAAGTCACCCTTGCGAGATCCCGTATAAACCAGGTTTTCCTTTGCACAGAGACAGCCAAGTTTTCGATTTCTTTTCTGTTTTTTTTGTCTACAACTTCTTCCTCTTCGACGTGGCGTTACTAGTTTCTTTTGGGAAGAAGAACGAAAAACCTTTGGGGAGACCGTAAGAATTCCTCAGGCCTCCACACCTCCCGACTCGTCCCACTGAGCCGACAAAGGGGGCGTCACGAAAACGAGAGGAACCGCCGTGCCAGATTTTTTCCCCCCACGAATCCTCCCGCAGGACTTGCCTACAAAGGAGGGAGGAAGCAACTTGTATGGTGGTAATTCGTATCAAAAAGGGCGCTGTGTGCGACCCACTGTGTACATGTTAAGCTAAGGTGCTAAGGTGTAATTTGGTAATTAATCTGTGATTTGAAGGGCGCTGTGTCGCGTCCAGTGTATTCCTCGTTTCATTAGAAATAAGTAAGTTAACCGTCTTTTTTGTATACCCCATCTCCACCAGCGCATAGGTGTCGTAACAGTACCTACTAATAAATAAAATAAATAACAGCAGTGTGGCGGCACAATAACACGTCGGTAAGCAGAGAAAGATAAGTGGCCACGTGGTCTAGTGGTTAGGATGCTTGCCCGGAGAGCGAGAGGCGTGGGGTTCGATTCCCACCGAGGCACAACATTTTTCTCTACTTACCTACAAGCAGCACTTTGTGTTGTTTGTTTAAAGAAAATATCGTATTTCTTTTAATTTCATTTACAGTAGTAGAAATGTTTGCTTCGAAAACCGGCAAAGGCGACCACAGACTAGAGAAGTAATAGCTAGAGTGATTGATTTATGAAAAGAGAAGCTGAGGAGGGAATTACTATTCCGATAGCAAATTTTAGAGAGAGAGTTATGGTAGCCACAGGAATATCTAAAAATACATTTGTCAGCATTTCTAAAGAAAACAAAGTCGTTAAATCTGGAGACAAATCATCGTTTACAACGCCCAAAAAAACAAA